ATGGTTTTAGGTTTATAGAAAAATTGTGAAGGTAGTAGACAGAGTCCTTTCCACAACCAGTTTACTCCACTGCTAGCATGTGACATGTTACAGTACACTGGTTGCAATGTAATACACCATTTGTTTATTGGTACAGGGGATTGAACCCAGGGCCTTTGCACGGAGCCGCATCCCCAGCCCTTCTTATTTTTTATTTTGTGAGAAGGTCTCACCAAATAGCTAAATGGCTGGGGCTAGGCTCTGACTTGGCAATCCCTTTGACTCAGGCTCCCAGAGGACTAGGATTAGAGGTATGTGCCACACACCCAGTTTAATTTAGTATTTAAATCACACTGTCCTGCCTCGACATTGTATTTTTCATTGGTATAATTCATCATGTGAAGAATTCACTCTGAATGCGATATGTTGTGTCTCGAACTTGGGTTCCACCCGTGGGAGTTTACCAGCTGAAGTTATTAAACATTTCTGAACTCCATCGGGTGCTGACCTTGGGCAGGGAGTCTTGGCTGGAGCCCGCACTCGCCCGTCAACTCCTGCAGCTCTGAGTTCTGCAGTGCCCCAGCCCCCTCCCTCTCCTGCCGCTTGGACACGCCCTTCTAACTCACAAACGCCACTTGGTCCCACACCTTCCTGCTTACAGACATAGGAACCAGCCTCTGCAGCTGGACCCTAGTCAGTCCTGAGCTCCAGGGGGGGAGGGGACGGGTGCTCTGGACGTAGGAGAGCTGGTGGCCCCTGTGTCTCGCACCCAGGGGACCCCTGAGACACCCCCTTGTCCAGCCGGCAAACGTCACTTCCCACCTTAAGGGTCACAATTTCCACCCACTACCCCACACTCTGGCTGTGAGCGTTTTATTTTTAGCATTAAAAGAGAGGAGGGGGCTGTTGCGATTTCATCATCCTAGAGACGGGGCGGGGACCACGTCCTCCTCGCGGGGGTCACCCGGAGAGCTGCACAGGGAGGGAACGCCGTGGGCAGAGCTCCTCCTGGCACAGGCCAGCAGCCCGGGCCCGCTCAGGGGTCCAGCAGCAAGCCAGCGGCCAGTGCAGGGGACTGCGGACAGGGCTCTGGCTGACCCTGCTCCCCAGAACACGGGGTCCTACTGTGAGATGAAACCTGTATATTGGGGAGGGGTCCATGGACAAGGCCAGAAGGCCGCGTTATAGACTGGCACTTGATGCTAACCTACTCTGGCCAGGTTCAGGACAGACGAGCCTGATTTAAGGAAAGGGTGACAAGTAATGGCTGAGGCCATGTATTTCACATGCCAACGAACACCCTCGATTCACAGGCTAACGGGTGGCTAGGGGCTCCAGGGGTGCCCTGTGCTATGCAGGGTCACAAGCCCTGCAGCCTTTTTTTTTGATACTGGGTGTGGAACTGCGCTTGCCAGACAGGTGCTGAGCCGCTGAGCTCCCTCCCCGGCCCCGCCCGGCAGTCTTCGACACACTCTCCCTGCTCTTGAGGCAAACGCCCCTTTGGAAAGGCAAACCTCCAGGTAACCTCCCCTCTGAGTCATTCTGGCTTTTTCCGATGAACGAGACCCCAGTCTACTGACAACCTAACGCTACAAGGTATTGAAAACGCCTGCAGAAGTCAGGATGCAAACCTTTCCCGCCGCCCCATGCCAGAGCAAAGCAAGTGCTGGTTGTGAGCCTCAGGGGGCCGGGCACGCTGTGCAGAGGCGTCCACTAACCTTTCAGGCCGGGCTCTGTGTCCCCCTCCTGGTCCTGGAGCGGGGTGTAGTCCCCGGCATGGTCTTCCATCGTGTCAAAGTCCTGGCGGGGCTCAGCCATCCTTGTTCAGGGCTCGCCTGGGGAGAGAAGGTGGGAGGGTGAGGGACACGCTGCGTGCTGAGCTGAGGGACCCATGTCCCAGGAGTGCGGGGGTGGGGCGGGGTACAGAGGAGTCCCCTCTCCCAGGCCATGGCCTTCCACGCTCCTGTGCAGCACGCGGATGCTCCCCGTGCCTACCAAAGTGACATACTGACACTTCCGAGCGCTTGTCATTCACCGACCGCATCTCAGCCTACTCCACTCAAAACCCCGGGGAGACAGGCTCGGCAAGCCCGACTTCCGACGCCACCTCACTGCACAGTAAATGCTGCCGGCTCCCAGTTTAACTTTCTTTTCCCTTGTAGGGCTGGGGATAGAACCCAGGGCCTCGCAGGAGCTAGCAAGTGCTCTGCCCCCAGCTACACCCAGCCTCTGTGCATCTTCTTCCTGGTACTCCCACTGCCTTAGTGAATGGGCCACATCCACTCGTCAGGACTGTACAGTAAGACCAAAAAAAAAAAAAAAAGAGAACCCACAGGAGGAAAGGAGCTGGGCAACAGGATGGCTTGTGTCCCAAAAAGATCTTTGCTTGAAAGAACTCCCTGCCACTGCATGTACCTAATTGTTCATTTATTTCACTTAGTAAGTTCTAAAAAATGTATTCTACTATTCCCCTTGACCTCCGCTATCACTTAAAATTTTTGTTTTGTTTTGTTTTGGTTTTTGAGACAGGGCCTCACTATGCAGTTCAGGCTGGCCTTGAGCTCACTTTGTAGCCAGGCTGGTCTCGAACTCACAAAGATCCTCCTGCCTCAGCCTCCCAAGTGCTGGGATTACAGGCGTGCACCACCAGGCCCGGCTCATTTTAAATTTTTTGTGTGTCTTTATTTCCATGGATTGTTCAAGATTCCACTTGAGCTTCAGGTAAAGTAAATATTTACTGTCAAAAGCCAGACAGGAGACACCACAGGCCCCGCCCGCAGCCTGTCTTCTAGTGACCCCTCTACCCCCTAGCGTCACACTCACTGCCCTTTGGGGCTGGAGGGTCAGAAGTACTCGAAGGAACCTGGACGAATTATAGGGGCCGATGCAGGAATTAAGTCATTCCTTAAACACATGCTGTCATTTACTACATGAAATAAGCAGGCTGGCGCATCTCACAGGCCAGTATTTTTCTTTGGGGGAAAGCGTGGATTGTACAGGAGGAGGTCTCTAAGCAGGGAGGCTCCCCCAACCCCAGCCCTGGGAGACAAACACCTTCAGGATTCCTGGATTTCCACGCTTGCCCCAGCCGCTCTAGGCCAGCTGTCCAGTGCTAACGTTTTCAAACCTGCGTGCCGTGTTCAGAAAGATAAGCCTGCTTCTAGAGCATCCCTGAGGTCAGCTCACCATAGGAAGGAAGCAGGATCCAAAAAGGAGAGGTCCCCAGAGAGAAACCAAAGCCACCCCTCTTCTTAGCTTTGTGACAAACACCAAGGGCTGGCTCCTGAGCCCGCAAGCCCTGCGTGTGTGGGGGGAGCTGCTCGCTGATGCTACTGGCACCCCTGGGCCTGGCAACGGGGGCCTCACGCTTGCCCCGGAGGCACCTCACAGACGCCTCACAGAGCACACAGCGGTCCTCTGAGGTAGGTGTCTACGTCACGATCATCATCACCACGGGTCTTACGATTCCCAGGAATCCGGGAGGTCCTCTCCCCAAGGTCAGAAGCCAGCAGGAGGCAGGGCCCACGTGCACAGCCTGTGCCGAGTAGCAGGGACACTGAGCTGCTCCTCACAGCCTGCTGCTTCACCCTGGACCGTAAAACAGTCTTCGCCTTTCTGCCTAAGACATCAGGGCCTGTGCCTGGGAGGGGGAGGGGACAGAGAAGCTGCCACTTCTCCCAGCCTTAAGGTTCTTCCTCCCCAAAATGTCGCTCTGTGACCTGGAGCTCCCTTCCTTCCCTGACGTTTATCCTAAGTGGGCCCAGGCAGCCTGCGTCCTCAGCTCAGGAGCCCAGGAATCCAGCGATGGGAGAGCAGGACGTCTCCAGCCCAGGCTGGGCTGGGGGGCAGTGACCCTGGCACCCAACAGAAGGTCTGCACTTCGGCACGCCAGGCTCCTGCTGTCCTCCTCCTGGAAGCCAAGGGCAGGCGAGCTCTCCGGAAGAACGGACCAAGGACAGAGCCAGCTGACAGGTGGTACAACCGCACACTGCAGGCCTGAGACCCACGCAAAGCTGCTGCACTGAAATACCTAAATAAGCAGGGCCCTGAGGACGCAGCCAGCCTGCGCCAGACGTGCCATCAGCCACGGGCCCCTGTAATCCCAGCGGGTCGCACGGACAGGAAGTAAACACCACAGCAGCTCCCCCCCCCACGCCCCGCTTTTCCTGTCCTCCGGCCCTGTCTGCCTCTGCGGCTCGGTCTCCGTGTTTCCATGTCCATCCCTGTCCCTGTCCCTGTCCCTCCCTCCTTCCCACCTCCTACTTGCCTGAGCACTGGCTCAGAGGCAGCGGGGTGGGAGCTCAGGAAGAAATTTTAGAGGAGCATAAAAACCGGGTGACACTTAGAAAACAAAACAGGCCACTTTTAAGGAACCCTTGGAAAAGGATGGCCTCCTGCCGAGAAAACCACCAGAGGGTCTTGGATTCTGTCCCTGTCGCTTTACGGAGAGGCTGGGGGACCCGCTCGCTAAGCCGAATTTAGGCTCAAGGTCCCCGGCCCCCGGCAAGCCCTGCCCGGAGGGAGGAAGCGGAGTCTGTAGGGTGACCGCCACGGCCGCGAAGGCGCGTGCACTGCCGCGGGGACACGGCGCGCTGACCCGGGCAGGGGCAGGAGAGGCGCCTGCATGCGCAGACCGGGGACCAAGTCCTGGCTGCTGCCGCAGTCTTGCCTAACTTTGGACGGTTGAAGTAAACTTCATAAACGCACCATTTCAAAGTGAGCATGAGCCATTTTTAAGTGGGATTCAGCAGCCCATCGCGCTACTCACCCACCGTCGCCTGTAATTCCAAAACATTCTCACCGCCCCGAAAGGAAGCCGGTGCCCACCCCCGCAGCGCCTCTGGCCCTGGATTCGCCTCTTCTGACCACTCCACATAGATTCCCTGTCCACACAGGAGGCGAAGACGTGTGTCACCGCGTGTCTCTCATGTCGTCCGGATTCACCCAGGTGGCCAGCGGTCACGGCTCCAAGCCTCGGGGACATCCCACTGCACAGGTTTACCCAGCTGCTCCTCCACGGCCCGTTAGCCACTAACTGGGAACAAGACAACGTGGAACTCTCTGCTGGGGCTCCTCTCTGAGAACAGCGGA